ACACCAGAAAACAAAGAGACGAGAAAGAATAAATGTTTGTTCTTACTCACCACTATGTAATTCATTCACAAGCAGCGTGTCTCTTAGCCTCTGAACTTTACAGTCTAAACGTTTCACCTGCGTCCACCGCACCAAACTTTTCGTATACGATTAGACGAACAACCTGTTGCATTAAAAAATATTACCTCTAAAGCTACAACCCTCTTGAGTATAATAGGGATAACAATTATTCGTAAGAGTAACTTCCACAGATAAAAATTAATTTTCACGGTGATATACTAGAACTGTAAAAGTCACACAAGGGCGAAAATTCCACACATATGAACAATGTAGCCTTCCTAACATAACGTTCGCGCATCCATATGGTTCACTTTCCTTCCACAAATTTCACCAACATCCAATCATCTATTCCAGACTTGCAACTGCTACTCTTAATCCAGCTAATCGCCCCTTATTCGAACCTATAGAGTTCACAATACAGCAAAAAAATCGCAAAATTAATAATACTGAATCGTCCCACAAGTTCCTACCGAAAGTGAAAAATATTTTCCAAGGAAATGCCGTTGAAACGACATAACAGTCTGACCAAACAAACAGAGGACAAAATTGTGGAATGAGAAGTTTTCATCTAATTTAAAGGTCCCTCGGAAATATCGATCTAAATCATAAAATTCGACAGACACTTACCGGATGACCTAATAAAATAACAATACTACAAAAATGGTTCCGTTCACGTTACTACAGCATTCTCATTACCACTCTCCTGAAAAATGTTTCCCAACCAGCAATGGGAACTTCACGCTTGCAATATCCCTCCCCACATCCTCCGCTTAGAGAGTAAAAAAAAATACTCAAGCGAACATCACGAAGGTCTACTCTATCCCGTGCACACCTTCCAATTCTCACGACGGTTAAATGACAACTTTCAAACATACTCGATCACGTACACATCACCGCAACAAGTTCCACACAAACAGATGAATCGATCAGCGAACAGTCGTTCCGATAAAAAATCTGCGCAAGCGTTAAACGACTCCGTGGAAGGGTAATTCCTCGTACAGGATGTTCGATTTAGTAGTCCCCGTAACTTCGATGCGTGGTCACGATGAGTAACGACAAAACCGTGGTCACAGAAATCAATATAACTGCTAGCAGCGATTACAGTCTCCAGTGGAATCGATGGGCGATGAAAAGCATAGGCGCATGGCCACAGTCCTCGTCGAATCTCGAGAGAATCATCTCTCGAATATTGAACGTGATCTGCTACACCGCAGTACTATTCACGATAATCCCTTGTTCGCTGCACGTAATGCTGGAAAAAGAGACTTTCTACACGAAAGTGAAAATACTCGGTCCGTTGAGCCACTGGGTGTTCTGTATCATCAGTTACACCATGCTGTTGCTGCGACGTAAAACCATACGTCACTTTTTCAATCATATGGAGACCGATTGGAGAACGACGATGAGAAAGGAGAAGAAAGAAATAATGCTGAAGTACGCGAAATTTAGTCGATACGCGGCGATTTCTTGTACGATCTTCATACACGGTGGTATACTTGGATATTGTGTTATGACAGCGTTCACCACGATGGTTGTCGTGGTTGGAAACGAGACTATGATCTTGCGCGTGCTGCCGTTACCAATGTACAAAGGGCTCCTTCCAGTCGATACGAATACTATGAACGAGATCGTTCTTTTGTCACAGTTTCTCTCCGGATTTATAGCGAACACCAGTGCGATCAGTGTTATAAGCCTTACAAGTGCTCTAACATCACACGCGTCTGGCCAGTTGGGCGTGGTTATGTTGTCGATCGAAGATTTTGTGAGTGATGCGAGACGCAGAGGGAAGGACGATCATTTCGACGAAATACCGACAATCGTGGAGAAACATTTGAGAGTGTTGAAGTAAGTATGTTTGTTGGATTTGATTTTGCCGATGGGTGTGTTTCTCTGATCGTTTCTGTTAATTACAGCTTCATATCGCGCATAGAGGCAATGATAAACAAAGCGTGTTTCCTGGAGTTAACGAGGTGCACGATAGCTATATGCGTACTTGGATATTATATATTCATGGTAGATGTAATTTTGATCGTACGGGCATAAGAATTATAAGTAGATATACAGTTTTTCATATGATATCACGTGCAAAGGCAATTTCAACAAAAAGATCGGTGGAAACGATATAGCGATGTCGTATAATCAGTCAAGCGTGAAAATGCGAAACAGCAA